AAAGAAAGAAAGAAAGAAAGAAAGAAAGAAAGAAAGAAAGAAAGAAAGAAAGAAAGAAAGAAAGAAAGAAAGAAAGAAAGGAAGGAAGGAAGGAAGGGAGAAAGAGAGAAAGAAAAAGAGAAAGACAGAAAGAGGGAGGGAGGAAGGAAGGAAGGGAGAGAGAGAGTGAGAGAGAGAGAAAGAGAAAGAGAGAGAGAGAGAGAGAGAGAGAGGACTTTTTGGTGTACCAGTAATGGGGCTTGAGTTCAGGGCCTGGACACTTTTCACTTAAGGTTCTACTTCCTGCTTTTTGGTGATTAATAGGGATAAGAGTCTCACAGACTTCCTATCCAGGCTATCTTTAAATCATAATCCTGAGATGTCAGTTACCTGAGTAGCTAGAAACAGGTGTGAGCCACCAGCGTCTGGCTATAAACAGACCTCTTATGCTGTAGCACACTCATTGTAAGATTTCTCCTGAAGGTGACTCCTGTCTCTCATTCTTTTATAGTTTTAATTTTCAGTTTCCATTTCATTTCTTTCTTTCTTTTTAAAGCTGGTTTTGATATTGGAATGCAAGGTCTGTGATAGGCTGGTACTATACCACATAAGCCACACCTCCAGCCATGTTTTATGCCGGTGGGAATGAAAAGGTTTGGCTAACTTTTCCTAGGCAACTTGAAACGGGGATCCTTCTACTCTCCATCTCCCAAGTAGCTATGGTAATAAACATGACCAGCCACCACAATGCTTTTTCCTCTTCTTGGTCTAAAGAAAATGAGTTCCCCAAGGATCAGGTTCAATTACATGAACAGGTGGCCCCAGCAGAATGTAAACTGTAGTTGGGTACTTATGGCTCATGTCTGTAATCCTATCTACTCAGAAGGGTGAGATCTGAGGGTGGTAGTTTGAAGCCAGCCTGGGCAGGAAAGCCCATGAGAGTCTTATCTACAATTAGCCACCAAATTAGCCACCAAATAACTAAAGTGGAGCTATGGCTCAATGAGAGAGTGCTATACTTGAGAGAGAAAAAAAAAGCCCAGGAGACAACACCAGGCCCTGAGTTCTAGGCCCAAGACTCTCTCTCTCTCTCTCTCACACACACACATACACACACACACTCATATACACACACACACACAAGGATTTCAATTTATTCAATTCAGAATAAACCACTATACTTCTAAATCTCTTCTTTCTAACCTTGATTTTGTCCCTCTACACAAAATATGGAATAAAAAGAGGGAAAGCAGAGAAGTACTATGTCTGTTCTAATCTTTAGAATCAAGAAATATATTCAAGGATTAGAGAGGTATCATTTGAGGGCCACAAAAGGACAAACAATGTGCCTTCTTCCTAGCGAGACAGAAAGGAACTGGCATAGACAGTGACTTATTATGAAGTCTGAGTCTCTCACACTTTTAAGCTCCTGTAGGATCATTACACTCCACAGTTGAGAAAGTTGAGATTCAAAGGGAATAATTCAGGCAATCCCCATAACTAGACAACCATGAAGCCAATGATAAAGTCACACTGATGACAGTCACCGTGTGCTGTTCTCAGTCCTATGATAGCACAGGCTGGAAATGAATCTGAGTGGAAAATCAGTGGCCTGGTTAAGAAATTGATGATGGGTCACTGTGACCTTTGACACCAAGTCCTGAGAGTAGCCCTCCCTCCTCCAGCCTCCTGCTTCTTTACAGCTAAGGCTCCCAGGAGAATGGGCCTCTTTGCTGACATTATATGTATCAGCAGTCTTAAAGATGCATGTCCAAGCCCGATGCCAGTGGCTCACGCCTGTAATCCTAGCTACTCAGGAGGCTGAGATCTGAGGATCATGGTACATAGCCAGCCAGGGCAGGAAAGTCTGTGAGGCTCTTATCTCCAATAAACCACTTGAAAACCAGAAGTGGCACTGTGGCTCAAGTGATAGAGCACTCGCTTGGAACTGAAGAGTGCAGGGACAGTGCCCAAGCCCAGAGTTCAAGCCCCATGACTGACAAAAAAAAAAAAAAGATCCTATGTCCAACAATACAAATGGCAACATAGCTCCTCCCATGTCATGGCACATTTGGACAGATTACCTGTGAGTACCACAAACAGCGAAATAATGAGAAGCAGACACAGCTTCATGCTCACAGACTTCCCAGGAGAAAGAGGCAGCCGAACTCGTGTATCCAGTGGTCTGTATCAGTCTTTGAACATGACCCACGACTCTGAATTTTGTCCACATTTCAAGCTCTGGTTTTAAGCCACGTGCACAGACAGGAAGTCCAAGTCCACCCCCACCTACATCTGCAAATATGGAGTTTATAATCACAGACTGTTCCACCTCATTGGTCTAATTTTAGATTTTTTGGGGGGAGAAAGATTGCTTTATTTGAGAGATTTCTATAAAGCTTTCCTTTTCTAGTGTAGAAGGATTCAACAACTAAATTCTGCAAAGATGAAGTCTCTGTGGCACAGTATTCAGCTCAGCATGTATTGGTCCTGGCTCTCCTGTTTCAGGTTTCTTTTTTTTGGGGGGGGGGTCTGGTCGTGGGGCCTGAACTCTGGGCCTGGGCACTGTCCCTCAGCTCTTCAGCTCAAGGCTAGC